ATATCGACATTGATTTCTTTAATATCGAAAAAAATTAAAAAATAAGAAATATAATGAGTAAATGAATAAGAAACGGGAAGATATATGAAGTCCATTACATTTATAACCCTTATATATACTACACATATCGACATTGATTTCTTTAATATCGCAAAAAACTAAGAAATAAAAAATACATAATATAAAAAGTAAATGAATAAGCCTAGGGAAAAAATCTGAATAGCGTGATKAAAATAATATATATGAGGCCTTTGATAGAGCTTCATGACATAAATTTTCTTTTGACGTATAATTTAAACAGTTCAGTTGCCTGCCATTCAAAGCATCGATTGATAATACCAACCCTTAACGATCACAAACGATGAATAGCTTATAGCTTGTAATAAATCATGTTTATACGGTCTTCTAGTTATTTTCAGTCGATGACTGAAAGACCAGCTATTGACTTAGTGAAAAAAGTAGCTTTTGTGTATGTGCACGTAGCTTTGGACAGCTGCTTAGTAAAGCAACCGTTTCCATGGTAACGTAGATTTACTGCTACCTCGCGGTTTCGCAGTGTTAATGACGTTTTAAGCGGTTATCAGAACCGCGTCAGCAGCTGATCACATGCAAATTTACCGTTAACATATTGAAGAGTATAGTGCATGTTTACTAAAACAAGGTCACTTGATAGTCATTGCGCATGACTAGCACGAAAAGGGCCTGGTAATTAGGAAACTTCATGTTTATGTAAATGACTAATAGCATGGACAAGGAAAAAGTATAACAAATAGAAATGGCAGAAATTGAAAAATAAAATAAGAATAGCATAAATTAGGAAAGTTTTTGGTTAGATGATCACCAGATCAGTTTGATCGACTCATACGCTAACAGTCAGATAACCTATTGAAATCAGGGCCCGGCTGTACGAAGCCTGGATAGCGCTAGATGGCAGATAAATCCTTATCCAGTGGAAATTTATTCGATAACAGCATCGACTTATCCACTGGATAAGATTTATCCATCGGATAGCGCTATCCAGGCTTCGTACAACCGGGCCCAGGAGTTTGTTTCAAACAGGTAGACAGATAACACGTTGTTTATCCAGGGTAGTCCCTTCAGTTTTTAGATGTAATTGTTATCAGTGGGAGCCCTTATACTGATATAATTTAAATGATACTAATACTACTATTACTAAAATATTAACTACTAATATGTATATATTTACATATGTACAAATTTTATACTGAATATTAAATATGTTGAGAAAAATCTAATAGCAATAAGAACGTTTGCGCTAAAACTTATAGAATAATTCTTACCCACCCCCCTACCTCCAAAAATAATAATTATTATGATTGATATGCGTTATAGACTTTGTACCCATTATAATAAAAACTGCGCATTGCTATTTCTGTTCGTACCTTAGGCAGGTGTTAAAGCTGACTTTGTCTGGATTTGCGCTTTGAAACATTACTAGTAAATTAAAAATAGTGAAACAGTCTAAACAGGACAAAATTATTTAGTCCCGTAACTTATCATTATTGAATAACTATAAAAAAATTCGAATTTTTAATCCACGTGTTGCCACGCCTCGAACTAAAAGCCACGTGTCGCCACACCCTTTAGTCTTTAACCCACGGGAACAGGTAGCTTGTAAATCGAACAAAAAACCTCTATGGGATTTAATCGTTTAAAAAAATTTTTCTCACATCTATAAGTCAGAATTGAAAAATTATTAGACTATTCGTGTACGATAAAAAATTCTCAAGTTTTATTTTTCCACGTGTTGCCACGCCTCTACTAACTAAAAGCCACGCCTCGCTACTCCTTTACAGACTCGTACCTAGTTGCTTCTCTTGTCTTATTGATCTCAGCTGTGGTTGATGGGAAGGATTTAGTGAGTTCCGGGTGCATTAAAAAAGCGTGAGTGACGACTGGATACGAGTCTGACCCCTTTAGTCTTTAACCGAAAGAGTTACCTTATTAATCGGACAAAAAACCTAGATTAAGTTTAATCGTTTAAAATATTTGTTTTGTCACATCTGTACGTCAGAATTGAATGAGTAGACAACAATTCCAAGTAGGCGTTTTTGTTTAATAACACTTTGTCTTCCCGTATTTTCCGACCGAGTCACAATGCCGCTAGTTAATTTTCATTGCCGTCACGTGTCGTTACTCTCCCCATCAGAAAGACTATCATTTTCGAAACCACCATCGTGTGTATCCGACAAGAAGTTTCCCAGAAAAGCAATCAAATCAGCGGAATAGAAAATCATTTTTCAAAGGCAATTAATTGAGTTCTTCGCCGAATAATATATTGCAAACATCATAAGAATAGCTTAATTATCCGCTTTTCGATGAGGCATTTGGCGACAAAAAAAGGACACTAAAACATCAGACCTCTTATCATTCGAAACGTACATGATTCCCTAGACGATCTCCTTCCGGCTGATCAGTATTGGGAATATAACACGGAAGCGGCCTGTTTGACTAATACAAGCATTCAGACGACAATGACATACCAAGATTCAAAATGGCTTTATGACTTGATAGACAAACATCTTGGTTCATTGGAAGCGAAGAAAGTGAATTTTCTTGGTTGAGAAGCCTGTTATGAATAGCGCAGCGCACTGATTCTAAAAATAGCTTAAAGATTCATACAAACATTGCATTCTGTTTAACCGCTACGAGGATTATATACGAACCGATTTTATTATTTTTTACTTAAAGCTACAATAATAACCCATGTAAACTAAGATCAACTGCGATCGGCTGTGTAAAACTTGTAAGTTTATTTGTCCGAATTTCGCCTTTGTCTTCGTTTTTATGACGTCACGACTGCGCTGCGCTATTTGACGGCGTTGGATAGACAGTTGTTAGGCTTTCTTACGACTGATTTACTGAATCGACTTGCAATAAATAAATAAAGATCCGTTAAACTCCGTTATGAAAAGATACCAAAACAGAGCAACTTCGAAAGAACTTTTTTTAAAATCTAAAAGTAATTAATGTTAATTAATAAATAATAATAATTGAATAATTTTAAAATTAATTCTATTTTTAATGAATTAAGAATTGTTGTAATTTGAATAATTTATTATTTAAACTTATTATTAAACTTAATAATAATCTTTAAGTAATTAAAATTATTACAGCCCAGCTTAAAATAGCTCCAGTCACGCCCTACTTGACCTCCAGAGGATTACGGAGGATTCATTTATACTCATCTGTTTGTGCATTCGATATATCATTTTACCATAACTTGGAAATTTCTCGCGCGCTAATTGGCTTAGAACCATTGTCGATTAGAGGCTAGACCTGCTTGTGCTTACGACATCCGTCACGCGCACTGAGCGAGCGGATGAAGCAGCTTTTCCAAACTATTTACTTGTCTTTTTGTTCATTTTTTTCGATTTTGTTATGGTAAACTGACTTCGATTTGTTAAATGGTCGTCATAACCTCATACGAACACGTGCTGTTTCAAGGAGATTTCTATGCTATGATGGTGCGTATCAGTAAAAGCACCGGGCAAAGCGTCATAATGATACCACAGTGCATGTGGGAGTGATTGGTGGTGTTCTAATATTGACAGTGGTCTTAATAGTCTTAAATTTTTTGATTTAAGGTATTTTTTATTTTTTCGTGGGATGCGCTGGAATACTAGGTATTTCTCAAAGCGAGGGACAAATGTATCAGATAAATAGTGGCTGGGGGAGGGGGGTGGGGGATGACTTTAAATCGATATAACTTAATTCTTAACAAAATTCGAGCCGATTAAGCAGTGATATTACAAATGTTATTTCAATTTTGGAAATAGGGTCATGGCAGAATCAACCCGAGTAGTAATCAACCAAAGACACAAAACAAATAAAAAAGACCACTAAATAACAAAGAAAATAACAAAAAAAAAAAAACCCAACTTAAACAACTAAACAACTAATTGATAATTCAACGAACTAACTCAGTAAAGAACTGACTGAGTGAATAAAACTAAGACACGCCAGACACTCACTGACTGTTTGTCTGACTGAAAATTCTTTCTGATCATTTCAATCGGTAGAGAATAAAACAAGAATAAAAGAAGATTCAAGAAGGGACGGAAGCAATTGCATCCAAAGTACTGAAAATGGTCTATTAACATCAAATTTAAAGTCAAGGTAACTTATTTAATCATGTAGGAAATTACCAAAGTGAGATTAATGTATTAATGACCCTTTAGGCTAAGATGGAACCCTCAATAAACGAGGGCACGGTAATATACATTAGCAGTTAGGTTAGCAACCCTCGAAAAACCATACTCCTAACAAAACCATTAGACACGAAGAGTTATAATGATGTTACACAGAAAATTGAGGAAAGAGTGTATAACGAATTTTTGTTTAATTCATGTCCACGGCAATACCACCGAGAAAGAACCGGTTCTCATCCGAACAAAACTATTAGACACGAACATTTAGAATAATATCACACAGAAAAATGAGAAAAATAGTGCATAACGAATTTTTGTCTAATTTTAAAATGTCGGCCACGGCCATACCGCCGGGATACCACAGAATAATGAGAAGAAATAGTGTACAACGAATTTTTTTCAGCGAATGTTAGTCGGCGAGTGTCAGTGTTCAGCGTCGTCATGGGACAGCTAACTGTCTAGCCTTAGGCTTTAAGCTTTAATTATTAATGACAAACATGTACAACTAGTGCTATTATGTACAATATTATATCATGCGTGTAGTAAGAATTATGTCACGGTATGAAAAAAAACCCGTTATGCATGGTTAAAAAGACATCAAGAAAAGATAGGTCAACAATGGTGATGAACCGCATTGCTTACCAAATATCCCGGTATATTGCCTTGAATTCGTTTGAAAGCCTTGTCATTGAGCGCTAAAAGCCAAAATGGCTTGTACATTACCGCGATGAACTAAGATTAACCAATGAATCGATCTACCAAAACCTTGTATTTTGCGTTTCCAACTTCAATGATTATCCATAATTACAATACTGCATTTTAAAGACACTTTGAATGGTATTGATAAAGTGTTGGCGAGAAACTTGACATTCTCACGGTGATTTATTCTTACGGACTTATTAGCACGGTGTTTTGGAATGCCGAATGAATGAAAATGATAGCGTGTCCGGATACATCATAGAGCGTATATAGTTTCATGTATGTGTTCTTGAACCAGCCACTCTCATTGGTTAAACGAAAACACTGCACTTATCTTAATGCTTTAGGGTCATACAGATCCATCGACTTCTTGATTCTTCTCGACTTGTCTTGGGTCTATTAGTTCAGTGAGTGAAATGGCTTAACCTGACATACTGATAGCGGTAAATCCATGAATATTGCGAATACTAACACACCTAAGAAGGAATTCATTTAAGTAAGGGGTGGTTTAGACTGCCTAGAGTTTCATCTGCGATATTCATGTATCGAATGACCCGTTGTCATAAGAGTTCGTAGATAGACAGGTAAACAGTGCCATATCTGATGTTAAAGACGGAGAGACAAAAATCAAGTGCTGAGCTCCTAAATAAAATATATGATCAGGGTTGTGTAACAAAGGTAGCCCAAACATAATGTTTTTACTCTATACTTCTTTCCTGAATGGAGAGGTTGCGTGATATATATATATTTTTCGGGGATGAAGTGCTTGCTTGATGCTTTTGGGGGATTTACCCGCAACTCCCCCTCAATTATCTAATTATCTGTCCCTTACTCTGACAATAAATTGAATTTAATTACCTCTAGATTTACTTATAAAATATAAAAACATAAATATCATAAAAAATATAAAAATATAAATACCATGATTTCGTTTGTGACAACAAAAACGTATCGGCAAACAAGATAAGTTCTTTAGTCAACACTATCAATTTAAAGTTTAAATGTCAAACAAGCTATTCAAGGGTTCACCTCATTATAGTTAGCTTTACGAAACCAGTAGGTGTTTGGCATCAGTTTAGCACATGAGGTGATGCTTCTTAACAAAATTATCTGCATGCAGTCTTGTTCAGAGTCTAATACAGAGTCGTTGAACAACCTTGCGGGAGTATGTCTCTGGCCTCTGATATAAACACAGTAGCCAGCCAATCAACAAGCACGTTACACTTGAAAAACTGAATTTATAGATAGTACTAATAGATTTAGTATACGTGCTTGATAACGCTCACTAGACATCTTTCTAAGATCATATCCAAAAACGTATTTCAATGATCGTAAAAAATAAAATTCAAATAAAAAGTCAGCAAAAAAATTACTTGATGTAAGTACTCAGCACGTACGGTTGTCAAGGTCACTACAAAAATATTGATTTTTTCTAAATATAATTATAAATATTAATCAAAATGTTTTCATATTTTCAGCCAAACCTCCAGTTGTATTTTTATGAGAAAGCGTTGGATAAAAAAATCATTGATCTTATTAGAAATTTATCTAATGTAAGAGATTTAAATTTCAGACTATTGTCCGTAGAATAGAATTCGTAGGATTGTATCCAAACTCAGTCAATAGAAAAACAGAAGTTAAAACAACTAAAGCAACATGTCTGATAACAATACCTAAGTCATACTCTACTTTTCTTCAAAAATAAACCTCATCGAAGATTAAAACATTATTTAGCGACATCTCAGTGATTTTCTAATCCTTACAGGTCATCATTTATTACCTCTACAGTTGCTTGAAGATAATCAATCTCGCTCCATTCACGGTTGTACAGACTCGAGGTTTTCTGTCTGGAGAACACCTTAGGACGACCAGAATCCATAACTTTATCCAATAAATATCGACAAGTGTCTGTGTAGTCACATCAACTAACTAAGGTTTTGCAAGGCGATAATTTAGATGCATACGGAAAGCTTCCGGCGCCATATTAGTTTGTCTTGGATGGAATCATGACAAGGATTGGAATGCTAAAAACTTGTAAAGTGATACTTTTACCATTTCAAATAACAAATACTTGTTTCCTGTTTTTATAAATAACAAATATGTGTGAAGCCGACCTATTTTGGACCCAGTTGGACCAAAGGAAACTGAAACTGACAAAACTCAATTAATCACTTTAATATATACTATTTTCATTAACCAAAGTATTTGTTTCTAATGGCAACTTTGTGTCACGTAACACTTTTTCACAAATGGCTCATTTTGCTTAAGTGTGTCCGCGGAAGGACGAAGTGAGTGGTAACTAATGGAGTCTTCGGGATATGGCTGTTATTGAAGCCTCAAGGTTCTTGTTCAAACACAATGACAAGCCGACAAACAGACACGAAACAGACAGACAGACAGACGAACAGAGAGACGAACGGACAGACAGACAGGCAGACACCAGACGGACAGACAGACAGTAGACGGACAGACAGACGGTTGGACAGACAGACAGTAGACGGACAGACAGACCAATGGACAGACAGACAGACAGACAGACAGATTGATAGATATACAGACATGAAAAACGATAGTAAATGAATAACCTTCCTGAAATAGCATATACGAGTTTACCTGTCTGCTGAAAATCGGTTTCAATTGGAATTTAGTAATGTTGATTTTTGCGGGAGAAGGGGAGGACAACCGAAGCCGACCCGGAGAAAAACCCCCGGGAATAGAAGAAAGGTGATAGGCGAGCGTTACGCCACCAGTGCTTCCCAAGATATGCATCCGCGGCCGACTTTTCAAATTGACTTTTTAACCAGAACGCGAAAAGTGATGTCTTTCTAAAAAATGATGAAGACCGAATGACAAATTATTACTCTCCCCATCAATGATTTTTGGGGATGACGCACTGGTATTGACAGACCCCCTCTCCTCCCCCTGTTAAATATGCCAAGGCAGGTTCTTACAGCATGATCTTGGTCATTGACGGCGTAAATCCGCAACTACCAAATGATTTTAAGGGATGAAGAACTGGTATTTACAGATCCCCTCCCCTCCCCCTGTTAAATATGTCAAGGTTCTTACAACATGATCTTGGTCATGAACGGTGTAAATCCGCAACTACCAAATGATTTTAAGGGATGAAGAACTGGTATTGACAGATCCCCTCCCCTCCCCCTGTTAAATATGTCAAGGTTCTTACAACATGATCTTGGTCATGAGCGGTGTAAGTCCGCAGCTACCAAATAATTTTAAGGGACGAAGAACATAACTGGATAAACAGATCCCCTCCCCTCCCCTGTTAAATATGTCAAGTTTCTTAATTTTAACTCAGTTCCTTTTTAATTCTTTCCGATCACCATTCTTATCTTAGATTAACCTAATTCATTATGTGTTTCTTTTGATGGAAAAGTATACACTCTAAAAGGAAATGAGAGCAATTCCAAAGTTTCAAAAATATTTGGCCAAAAACTAGTTTCGATCAGAAATTTTGATCGAAAATTAATGAACTGATATTCAGGATTAAATACTGCGATTTTCTTTTAAAATCGCAGTTACACGAAGTTATAATAACTGAAATTTACCAGTTGTTGACAATAATAAAACTGCAACAATGATGGCTTACCCAAGACTCGATTCCACTGCGCCGGTGTTTGAACGAACCGTACTCTAACAATGAGTCCGAAGTCCTTCTTCTACGATTTTGGCGACCCTCTCTTTCGACAATTGTCCTATCAAATCGCCGGAGACAATAACGCTGGTAACTTCTATTCGTATCGAACGAACGCTTTGCTCCGGTCACCATCAGTTCAAACAAGTCATCCATTTTATTCAACCTGTTCTTCAGTTTTTGAATTTTTTTAATACCTAAATCTGGAATAACCTAATTGAAAGCCCTGAGTCGTCCTCTAAATTTAATCCAAATCAGTGTCTATTTTCATCGTAACAAGTTCCCTTGCGTTAAGTAGATTACCATGGTAAAAAGTTTTTTTGGGGGGTGGGGGGAGAGGGAGGGGAATTATAATTCGCTCGAGGCAGCAATTTCCCTTGTGTTTCGCTTATAAACATTGTTAAAATTGCGAGGGTTTATAATGAACTGAAACACGTTCATTTCTGACAGTGGTCATTATTTACTGTTCTATTTATCGCATCCCAAAAAATTCCGTGCACAAATTGATCTTCAGGTCATTTGCAGCCCGTCAGTATTTCTAAGCAACTGGAAAAAAAGTTCAGTGGCTTTAATGATTCGTATATACATCAAAGGAATCCTAAGGAAATCAGTCTGATTAGAGCCAGAGTTTTTCACTGGCAAAATTATTAAGAATCTTAAAGTATTAATTCCAAGAACTATGATTTATACTGGTTCGATAGACGTCAGCGTACATGCCGTGTGAAATCGCAGCACTTAAAAGCCACTTACCACACAATTGATTGTTTTGAAAGGATGTTAAAATAATGAAAAATAGAAAATGCAATAATGGGAGTGAATAAATACTGCTAGCCACACTTTCGATTGAAAAATGTTTATTGCTAATCATTAATATTTATATTAAATGTTATCACTGATTTCCAAATCCTTAATCGTCTTAAGCGAGCAAACTCCATGTGAAATGATACTATTGAGCCGGATTTCAGTCTGAAGCTTTGGCTTTCAGGCCAAGCAATAACAAATATAACCCGTGTAAAGCAATACAAGAACATTAAAAATACATGTAAAAACGATCAAAAATTACGATGTGACTTGACACTGCGAAGAAATCGTACATGCTTTAGTTAATTAGAAAGAAATTGCAAAACGTCATCTTTCCATTGTTGCTGTTCCAGTTGAATCAAAGCATGGTAAGCCATTAAAACTTAGTTGATTGGAAAATATGAAATATGTCCTACAGCGGTTGACAGTAACTTAGGCAGCAATAACAGACTGCTTCCGAGAGCGAACTGAGTGAAACCACGCAATCACTTAAGTGAGCGGCAGACATTGTTTTTACATATATTAATCACAATATTCACAAAAGGCTTTATATATCTCTCTCCCTCTATTTCTGTCTCTCTCTCTGTGTCAATCTTTTGCGCTACCTCAATATAACTCTCGTGTTTCTCTCTCAATGGCTCTTTTTACCTCAATGTTTCTGTCTCTGTCTCTTTCTCTTCCAAGCCTTTAAGCTTGACCAATCCGAAAACAAATCTGCCGGGATTGGATCCGCTCATAAACCGCGTATAGCTACTAATAACATTCACTTGATCACATCCTCATTAAGCTGAACGACAAGTAAAAATTAGGCTTTATAATTAGACAAACCTTTCCAAATTTCTGGAAATAATATTATTCGGGATGTTTTGGAAGTTTTCATTATATGTTTACTCTTGCGGTTTACTGTGATAATTTCTCTAGTTTAAACTGGAAATGTTTTAACATAGATTCTGCATTTTTCTCGGAGTATACAAATTTCTGATCGAGTCAAGTTTGAATGTATGAAAAGACCGTAAGGCAAAACTGAGGCAACCCAAACGAGATGAAATCAAGGAGGGGAAGGGGGTCCTGCTCCGCCCATGAGATAAATAAATGATTAGCCATTGGCTTTTACCAACTCTTAATCATTAATATATAATACAGTAAATATTGATCATGTTATTCAGTATACATGTCAAGTCAAGTCTTGTGTAAACATGAAGAATACATTGATTCTCATTGATTAGTCTACGATCTTCGTTGAAATGTCGAAATCTTTTTAGCAGTGGAATGTATGTCAAAATTCATTTCAGTATAATATGAAAATATTAGACTAAATATATATAAAATATAAAAATATATATAAATATATATTGAATAATATGATAGTACTTATAATATGAAAATATTATAAGTAAGATACACAAAGTGGTCTAAATGTCCTGAATTTTCTCATAGAACTGATACTGACGATGTACTGTGGCTTGAAATGAACACTAAAGTAGTATTCAATACAGAATGCATGAATACGCTTGGCAAGTTGATATCATTATTACATTGGACAAACTGTGAGTATTTATCAGTTATCTAGTAAATAATGCATGCAAGTTAATGATAAACTTTCCAATAAAATTGCTAACAAATTATAAAAAAATTAAAGCGTCAAGAGATAAAGTATATTTGATAAAAGAGAAATAAAAGAAAAGTGATGGGACATTTCTATAGTTAATAATATAATTACCTAGTAAGAGTAAATCACTATAGTATATAGAAAAGTTCAAGGGAACCGTAAGAGAGTCACGTTAAACAAGTTACGAACCTGATCAGCCTTGGCCAAACGAAATACGGGTCCCGAACCTCTCCTCTTGTTTTCTGATAATATTATCTCTTGAATCTTGGACAACATTATTTGCCTTCTTAAATCTTACTTTTCCGTATCTGTACGTTATCCTGTGACTTTGCCCACGGCTAGAATAGTTTTCATTAAATATTATACCGAGCCTTTATGGTAATGGTACATAGTGGACTGAAAATTTTTAACAAGTAGATGAAATGTTGATTTAGACAAAATACCTGTTGGGTTGCATAGATACCATTTATCGCAATTTCGATTGACGACTGAAAGCCCATCACAACAACATATTGCGAAATACACGTCTTGAAAAATGTTAAAGATGAGGTGGGGATGTTATATATAAGGGCACAAAAAGTTGCGAAAAGACTGCCTTAAAAGTGCACTAAAAAAACTAGTTGTGTGAGTTAGCCATGGTGTCAGAGTTACTCATTTTTAGAAACCAAGAATAGAAAATTTATATTATAAAGCGTGGTCAAGATGGACAACTTGCCAGTAGTAATGTGTGGTCGTTATTAAAAGTATTTGGCAAAAGTTTACTGGATTATTGTCGAAGATATTATATATTCAACGCACGCAATTGATCAATTCCTAAGGACAGTTTGGGTTGCCTGTGGTTTCCCAACTTGCTGGAGTAGTAATCACGTGATATCGTATATGGAAAAGGGGCAAGAAGAGAAGGGAGGGGTACGAGGGCTACGTAATAGAAATTGAAAAGCAGAACAGATAAAGGAAAAGGAATAAGGCTTCATAGTCGGCATATCTATTTATTCTGCCTCTTTGAAAAAATAATTCCCAAGATTTGAAACTTTCTTTAAAGATTAAATAAAGAATAGGTTTTAGGTTAATATTTCATCTTGACCATAAAGGAGTTTTCACATTATATATAATTCGAAGGAAAGGCCTTGAATAGGCCATTTGCAACAGACAGCCACGTGCCTATTGCATTGAATTCCTAGAGGAATTGTCTGGGGGACAAAACAATAGGGCATATTTTCTTATGCAAAAAAAAATCCATTCTTTTGTCCCCCGGAACAATTCTTCTAGGGACTCAGTGCAAGGGGTCTATATCACTTTGATAGCGAATCATTTCAGCCAAAGGTCCCAATCTCAAAATCGAAAGTATCTTATAAGGGCAAAAGTATATTGAAAAAAGTTTGGGATATGACATTAGTAATCCAACAAAAGTATGAAGACAACGGAAGCCCAAAGTTTTGTCATGTGATTATGTCATGTGATCATTTCCTGCAAAAGGCCCGGCTTTTGTCCGAGCAAAACACGCAACCTTTTACTGGACAATATAGACCCAAAATAACTTAGAGATGAAAAGTTCTGTCCAGGCAAACCTTCTTAAGTTATAATCTTATTAGGGAAACCAATAATTGCCAAAAATAGAAGCACTTAAAAACTAAATATATTTCCTTAGGCATTTGAAGGAGAGTTTAAGGCAAATGCCAAGCGCCATACAATTTATTTATTTTATGCAGGACTCTATTTAAACTAGACTGTGCTAAATTAGATGTTACTGTTAAAATATTGAATAAAATAAATAAATAAATAAATTGGAAAAGAATCATAATCAGCATTGATGAATCAGCCTCTTATTCAAGCTAAAGCGTAATCTTTGTTTTCAAAAATAATGATATAATCTAAGATATAAATAAAAGCAAATATATACACGAATTCAGCTATTGCCGGCGACAAAATATCAGTTTTGTATAATATTGATGTTATTTATATGCAGATAGGCACTTACTCTGACGAAGGACTAGCGTCCGAAACGTCAGTTTCACAAAGCTTTTTACGGTGATTCAATTTATCTACAAGTTCCTACCATATGCAGATAGGGCTTTTATAACTGTTTATATGTGTTAATGGATCACCATCATTCAACCTATAGTGCTTATTCAAATTTTCTCAAAATATCAAAACATCCTGTGCTTATCTTTGAAAACAAGGAATATTGACACTCGAAAAAAGGTACTTACAAATTCTTCCTGTGTGGGAATTATTTCAGCTGACTCCAGTTCGGATTCTGATTTGCCACGACCTGAAGTTACTTGTCTCTTGGTTGCGAACACGGCCGCTTGAGATAAACTTTGAAATCTATGACTCATATTTATATACCTTATTCAAACCTCATTCAAAGTTTACTGCCAGACGAAAGGTCATTCTAATCGAATCAAATCCTTAAAGCAGGTTAAATTTCTCTAGAATGTTGAATTCTAAGTTGGCATGGTCCAGATTGAGGATTTTCTTCGTTATAATTTGAAGTTAAAGAATGTGCATGCGGCGCATATCGACGTTTAATAGTTAACCTTTCCAAAGACAACGGAAATGATAACAATATACTGGATGGAAACCTTTGACACCGAATGACATAATTTGACACTGATATAAAACTGATTCACATGACGGAAGATGACATCATATAAATCCCAGACCCTGTATAGTCGGCCGGGCTCGGTCAATTATGGAAGGGAAGAATGCGTACGAATGCTTAGACTGACTGAAATTTGGTATCGTTTCTTTTTTTAATCAAAAGAAATGGAAATTAGAAAGATTATAGCTGCCACGTCAATGCAACCTGTGTAACTGAGTGAGGAGAAGACTAGCTATTTTAGAATCTGAGGTGGGGAGATTCCATGGGTTTAAACTAACCTCTCCAAGTTCCATTATCATTCTGTATTTATCATCCGTATCCTTGTTGCAAGTGTCAAAGCATTTGATACCATATGGCTTTCAAGACATCGGCAATCGAGCACGACACCAGAATTTCATGTGATTATTATCTTGTCTTCTTCACTACTGATTCGCACTGAAAAATCCGATCGTTTTTTAAGCCTATACCAGTATGCCATACAAATGTTTAGAAACTTTTTTTCGATCTTCTGTTTCCCTCTATATTCAGATTACTTCCAGCGAGAAGAACTTGTAGTGAACTTAAGACTAATATTGCATGGTCACATGCACAATTAATCGGTGATGAGGACGAGATAGCTGCCTAATCCTTACCTTAAATGATTCCTGGATCAGATGAAATGACTTGGTTGTGACACTTGGGTTTCCATTCCTCCATTCCCGCGTCAACTCGTCGTATAAAAAGCGTGAATTCATGATTTCACTTTACCTAAAGGAAATAAAAACTTTTTATACATGTCAAACGAACACGATAATGTTGAATAATTTCATTGGGAACGGTACATCAGGATTTTAGGGGATTACAGAGGTCAGAAAAACTAACATCTACAAACAGGGGACTGTCACTCCTATCTAGTTTTGAACTGTACTACAAAGTAGCCTAAGTCAACGTTACCTCTGACCGAACGGTCGGGATTTAGATAAACGTGTGGACATGCCACTATCCACTTTTAGTAACATATAAGTATAGTAACACGAACTTCTGACTGACCATGAATACTGTCTACCTAAGTTACGTATACGTATGAAAGTACTTGAACAAATAGTCATTACGTAGTCATAAGGATAATATTGGGCTGCTAGACAGCCAATAATCGTGCTAACAAGTATTAACGACATTTAATATTTAAATTAATAGACTTCCAGAAGATGTGAGTCGAGTGAGTAGAACATTCAGTATAGTGGCATTGTGTGTGAATGAAAAAGTGTCCTTAATTTGTGTGAAATAAGCGAACGACTAGGTATTTAAATATTTTTTTTTTTTTTTTTTACAAAAATGGAATTAGCGGCGAGGCTAGAGAGGAGGAATGAATTAAAAAATACTCCAAAGGCATCAATAATATTGTCATAAAATAGCGTGGAGTACTGGATGGATGCATGGGCTTGTATTTAGGATGAATAAAATAGTTTCTAGGGACAATTAACAATAAATATATAATAAATAAATAAATGCAAACATCACACACACACACACACACACACACACACACACACACACACACACACACACACAGGAAAAGAATTATAGAAAGACAGACAGAATTCAATTTCTATGAAGGGGCATGATAGCGTTGTTGGTTGTTCAGTCTTCAGTAATGATTTATGTAGATGACGTGATGCTTGATTAATCGATTAGACGCATGCGAAGCAAACCTGTCTGTATTTGTAATCATAGAAAATTATGAGTATAGTAACCACTAATACAGAATTATAAATTAGTAAACCATTCATATTTAACACCTGGCTTATGTTCAGACGGTTTTCCTATGGGAAACACTAAGCCCGGCCCCACAAGTACGAACAGTTATTTGCAGGGCTGGCGCTTATTTACGTCAGACACTAGTTACTAATAGGTGCAGTTATGCAGGCACCAAAATTGCGCAACTCCTTTCACACTAATAATGCTATAGGTCATTTTGAGGTTGAGGAAAAACTGGGTCGGGCTGGCAGTCCAGTGCATTTTGGGGCTGTTTTAGGGCACGAAATAGACGCCAAATATTTCCTATAAAACAGCCCCACAATGCACCGCAACGCCAAATCTATCCGATTTTTTTTCAACATCGGAAAGGCTAATACACCATATATAGAATTAAGAGGAAGTGGAGCTCGTCAGTTAATGGCATAGTTCTTGCATGGCGCACTTCCTGTATCTTAGATTACTGCCCAGCACATTTTTTAAACGCTGTGCGAATAGTATTGTGGTATCATAAAAAAAAAAATTGTGAAAAAAAAAAAAAAAAAAAAGGATCATGCATGGTCTTTATTTATCACTGGACTTCAATAACTCTGACTTGG